TATAGATGGTATCAACTTGTCTTCCATGATTAAAGGAATCACATAAAAAAGATGTGTAAATAAGTAGATTAGTATTAGTTGATTTTCCTTCTCCAAAACCATGCTGCCTCTGACTAAGCAGCGGACTGATGTGATTGTAAAAGTGCTGATAGAGAAGTGACTCAAATATCTTCGCGAACCAGCTGAGCACACTGATGGGCCGATAGTCAGTAATATTGTGTCTATCCCGACTTAAATATAGGTGTAATTTTAGCAATTTTCCATAGCGATGGAAATGTACTTTCGCTGAGTGATTTATTATAGATTAAAGTTAAGGGATCAACAAGTGCCGAAGCACACATACGTATAAGAATAGGTGGGATACCATCTGGTCCTGCACCTTTAGATACATCCACATTTTTTAGCATAGCCATCACGGAATCGCTCTGAATTTGTAATCGGTTTATAGCAAAATTATGGCCAGGGAAATCAGCAACATAGGAGACAGAACCCCCCCCCTGTCGTATACTGAAGAAAAAAAATCCGCAAAAAGATTCACAATATCACAGCCTGCGGTGGCGACTCGGTCGCGAAGGTACATGCGTTTCGGGACCGAATCGCTTGCTTTTCATATACCTCCAAAAAGATTTTATATTAAGTGTTAAATCCTTCTCTATGCTTGAAATATAAAGTTTAAAACATTCCTCCAATAAAGACTTGGCACGTGATCTCAGCATGGAAAATGTATCAAAGTCTCTTGGATTCCTGAAACGTTTATAAAGTTTGTGGTATTTCGCTTTTAGTTTGAGGACCCTTTTTAAACCCGAAGAGAACCAAACGGGATAGTTAGAAGCACGTACCTTGGTTTTAGGTGTGTGTTCATAGACTATCAGATGGAGCCGATTATAGAAAAACTGAACTAAGTCATCACAGCGTAGAGTTGCAGCATAATGAGCCCAGTCGATTTCGTGAAGCCCTGACATGCATTTTTCAAAATCAGTCCTATAAAAACATAGTTTATAAACATAGTGACGCAGTGACGAACTCCGAACATGAGAATATTCCAATTGAAATGGAGGGTGATGCTTGTCAAGTCGACCAATGGGATTAGCGCACCGCAAAGAAATCAAATCAAGACTATTGGTGACAGCTAAATCTAAGATTCTGTTATTATGATTGGTTATATTATTTAGTTGATATATATTTAATGATTCAAACAAGTTACACAAAGCCTCGGATTTAGGACAATAGCTGTTAAGGGGACTATTACTTTCGCTGGGCCAATTCAAATCACCTAGATTAAAGTCACCGACAATGCAAAAAGTCTGTTCAGGATAGAGTGATATTATTGTTGAACAGTTGTTTAAAAAAACTTGATAATCGTTAAAAGGTACACGGATCAATCAAATCAAGCAGATACACGGTGCGTAAATTCAAGACAATATGGCCACTAAATGTAACCTGAACCCACAAATCATCAGCACACTCAGATTGCCAGTCCCTCCTGATCACTACATCAAGCCCCTTCGAAGCCGCTATCAACACTCCACCGCCATGGCGCTTATTAAAACGCTTAAGGAATCTGTCGCTCCGGTCTCTGCGCAGAACTATATATCTATTATCTATTAACTCAGATGAAAGTACTGAATCGTCAAGCAACGTTTCAGCAAGACAAATAATATCGTAATTATTGCATAAAATAGACTTATAAATATCAATAGACTTACTTTTCATACCTCTAATATTCTGGTAATACAAACTTATGATAGCCATTTATATAGTATTAACAACAATAATAAAAGCGCTATATGTAAAAAAAAAATAATACTAAAAGAAATATACATTATTTTATTAAATCTAGACTTTTGATATTCTTTATATGAATGTGCGGGCAATCCACACTTTTTCTTACAAAAATACGACCACCTCGGACCCAGATAAATTGGTATTTATGCTCCTTCTTTTTCTTCCTAGCAGCTGCATGCAAGTTTTTATTAGTAGGAGACAGATGTTCTGAGACGTATATCGGCTTTTTATCTCCAGCGATACCAAAAAGCGCCGTATTAAGTTTGTCATCCTTATTCGCTTTATTATACCTGTACACAGATGAAAAAAAATCATCACGACGAGTGATGTTGCTGAATTTCACTATAATTGTACGAGGCTGTGTACTACTTTTATTTAATTTTGCGACTCTCATACAATTTATTATATCACCGTCTTTGATTGAGCAGCCAACAACAGAGGAACAGTACTTTAGGAGGTTAACTAAATTCTCATTGCGATGTTCAGGTATTCCATGAAGTTCCAAGTTACATTCTCTAAGGTATTGCTCAGAATTATTTAAGCGATCGGACAGTTCACCCACGACAGCTTAACAATAGATTATCCTTTTTAAGAGAGTTATTATCCTCTTTCAAAAATTTTATATCCTTTTTCATATCTTCAAACTTTGTATTAAAAAATTCAAGAGAAGTGCGAAAGTCCTTTAGCTCATTTTGAATCGGTAGCAATTCCTGCTGTAATAACTTAGACAATAGTACAGGCAACTCGGTTTTAATTGAGTTAAGCACCCTTTCGCTAATTGCGGAAATTATATCCTCGTCCTGGCCCGAACCAAAACGAACATCATGATATTTTAGGTTTGGTCTCCGAGTAGTGACGTTATCGTGATCCAAAACTACATCATCCTCGTTTCCTGGAGAGCACTCAATTTCGACTGCATGAAAAGCACGAGCGGGTGTGTTAGTATTGCTAGTCTTAGGCTGTTTGCTTTTACACTCGCAGCAAACCCATTGCAATTTATTGGTCTTCGTCATTGAGTTTCGAAAACAATGCACCGATACATTTGCACATTCAAGGTCTTAAATTTTTGTACAGCATGCACATTTTAAGTTATCGTTTGTATTATACTTTTTGCGACAACCAGCACATACAAATTGAGTTGGCGCCATTACAAATAAGTAAAATTCTTTACTTAAACTTGATACGTTGCGTTGTCACCTCTGCGATGCTTTATGCCGCGTACGTAACCGTCGATATGAGCCTAACATACAAAATTAACATACAAATTATTTAACAACCATATTTCCTGAAGTTAACAAATGAGCAAAACTAAAATTAATGATACAAGTGAGAGTGAGTCTTTTAAAATAACCTTGCCATTTTTACGACGTTTTACTGAATTTAGTGTTAAAATAAAAGATAGGTACGTTGTTTTAATTTATGAAAATTAAGGAATTTAGATTGCTATCAAACGCTTTATCGGCCGCTGACTATTTAAGTGAACAATGTCTAGAATAATAGATATTGAGTATTAACTGTTTAGTAGTTCTTAATATTTCAATAAAACAAAATAATTTTGTGGTAACTTTGAATAAGTTACATTTCGATGTTCATGGTATCCGGGATCTGAGATACTTGATCATAGCCCTGCATTCATTAGGAGGTACTGGAAAATTGGAAAGTTTTATCAATACACGTACATGTTGAATACCCTACCTTAAATCTATGTGCATGCCCCTGGGGAGACCTTGTAATGAGAAAAACCGGCAAGAAACTCAGCAAGAGCTGCTCTGCCTTGTTTTCCCTGTTTTATTTCTCACAGAGAAGTCTTATTGGAATGTAACTTAATAAGTCGTTGAAGTCACTTTCTATTACAATATCAGATATAACAAGACAAATACTCGTATCAAATCAATATACAATATTTATAATAAAATAAAATGGACGAAAGTAAATAGTCGAGTGCAGACTCATACCCACTGGCAGCACCCGTTGACGAGCTTGACGCCAGCCATTGCTTCGCTCAACTATACCTATATTAGGAAATGTAACGACCTGATGCACATGACACCACCTCAGAGATTTTTAAGAGAGTGTAACTACTCTAGGTACTTAATAACTAAATTATTTCATTAAAATTGATCTGATTGACTTCCTATTTAAATAGAGTAGGTTAAGTAGGAAGTCAATCTATTATTGACAATAATATTGTAAGAACCAAAAAAGTACATACCCACCGTACGAATTAACAATAATACCTGGAATTAACATTAACGTCCGCTGTCGACATGCAAGTTCAGTAACGGTAGTTTAATAACTGCACGGGTCTTTGTGATTTTGAAATTTAAAGTTATAACCTTGCTGTTCGTTTCTTTTTGATTATTGAATTTTTATTATGTATATAATAACTAATTTTTAGTTTATACAATGATAATTTCGAAATAACAACTTATTTGCACGTTGTACTTTGCACAAACATCATTCTATCCAGAAGTCATGTTATTTTGTATGAGCAGTATATTACTAGTATATTTGAAGTAAAGTAAATATACAGATAATAAACGGATTTTTTATTATATTTATCATTTTTTATGACTTTTATTACTAGTTAATAAACCGTGTTCATTAATTCACCATATATTAATCAGACTTGTTGTTGTTTTGTTGCTGTAAGTTCAACTCACAACTAAGAGCAACAAAACTAACTTACCAAGTTGTTAATGTACAAACAATACGTAGCTAAATGCTACTTTTAATAATTGCACAGCATTTCCATAACTTAAAAAAAAACCTACTCTACGCTCACTTCAATAAGTTTAAATTTCCTTTATAAAAAAAAACAAAGTTTCGTTCACATTAATCGAGTAGCGTAACTCGATTTAATTGAATTTCAACTCGATATTTATCCGTGTTAGCGGATCCGTAACAACACTGACAATTCTATTCTCTTTGGTCTAATGTCATGAATTGACAATTTTTTTGGAATCTACAAACAATGCTCCTACGTGAAATTGGCAGGATTGTGGTTAACACAAAATAGTCATTAAAATAGGAGAAGAAGAACAATGCAATGCAATGTGTGCTGTGTGCTGCCTGCTGCCATATAATCATATAATTTAATGACATAAATTTTTGTAGTTTCTTTACTTTTTTTTTTGAATACTTCCTCATTTAGACGCTATATTTGTGAAGAATTTAAACATTGTTTGTTTTCCTGTAAATCTGTGGTGTGGTGATTATTGTAGACGTCTAAGATCAAATGAGTTTTGTGACCTTTAAAATTATAGTGACTATTACTATTAGCTATTTGGATTACAAATAGAGGTTACTAAAATGCATACAAAGAAAGCTATCAGTAAAGGAAAGCTTAAGAAGACTATAAAAAATGTTTTATGCCGCCCCGATAAAGTATTTTGGTAGGTTACAGTATTCCCATTGCCCCTTTTAAATTATGGGGAGAATTAAGTTGGAACAACAATTGAATTATGTCCTTTGTTTTGTATTCTCTAAAATTATTTATTATCACATCAATTCCTATTTTTTATTTATACAGGCCTTCAATATCAGAAGATAATACAATGTTAGTGAATAAAGCCCTAAACAGTTATAAGATTGATAAACCACGCTTTGAAAAGCTTCATTGGAAAGATCTGAAACAAATTCCCAAAGATAAAAGACCTAAACCTCCAAAAATGAAGTAAGTTCACACTAGGGGTTAAAGTATGAAAGAATTCACATGTTTATTTCATCATGTCATATGATTTTTTTAAAGGTTTAACTTGATAACTAGTTAATACAATTTTAATTTCAAAGGGATAAATAAAAATATATAGTATTTTTATGATATGTATTTAACCACACTGTAGATTATTTATCTCTTATGTTACAGAAAAATAGAAGGTTTATTATTTGGTATATCAGAATGCTTCAATGCAGTTAATTCAAAAAAATGTGCAGCGGTGATCATGGAGGCATCTATTAATCCAAGAATCATAGTTCAACCAATTCTTGAAGCATGTGTAGAATTGAGCATACCTGTTATTTGTGTTAATGGTTTAAGGACAACAAGTTTTACTAATTTTAATATACCTACCAGTTGTCTTGGTATAGAATGTGGTTGGCTACCAGAATTACATAATTTGGTTTTAGAAATAGCTAAAGAGTACAATGTTGCAAAAGAAGATAAGAAAATTAAACAAGAATTGATGGAAACTGCACCATTATTGGAATCTGTTATGGACAGTAAAAATGAGGTCACTTTATTTCCCTACTTATATAGAACAGATAAAAAATCAAGAATTTTTGTGCCATCTGGACAGACAGGAAATGTTTTCAAAAGTATCCAGGCACTTAATGGTCAAGATTTTATAAAAATAAAAGATGAGTCCAATCAACACACAAAGGATAACATATACATGCAAATGATTGTCAAACGAATATCAAATAATCAAAATAGAGCAAAGACTAAAAAACTATGATAATAAAAAACTCATTTAAAGAGAAATATACTTTATTTTTTATTATAATAATTATAAGTATTATAATTTCTATAATGTCAAAAAAGACAAATATGTTAAGCATCCCTATAGGAATGTAAATAACTATCAATACTCAGAAACACTTCATATATGTGAGCTGTTTCTGAATGCTGAATATGATCAAGTTTTACCAAGTTTTCTTTATCCAAGCAATATATATTGGTAAAAATTGATGATTGAATCATTAAGACTAATATCATGCAATGCTCCATAAAATTCTAACTATATAATACACCAATCTTATGGAGTATAGCATGCAAGTAGATATATTTATCTTACATTTCAATTGATGCATTGCATTTATAGTTTTATAAAGTTCAATTTAATAAAAATCAAACAACAAATTGTGTTCAACATTAAACACTTAATTATAATGACTATTTAGTTTATGATATCTGGCCCTTTTACATGATAAAATATAATAGAAATTACTGATCATGTTAAACAATATAACCAAGAACCTTTTAAGCATTAAATTTATGATAATGATTTCTTGAAGAGTACCAAAACATATAATTGTTATCACCTGAATAGTTACAATCTAATAATAACTAGCTAACTCTTGTTTTGTCAAAAATTGGATACACAGTACCAATTTCCTAATGAATAAGGGTGCAGTAATTTAGTATTGTACCTTTATAAAGAAATTCAGCAATTCATGTGGTTCTACATGAATTGCTGGAGGGTCATAGGAATACAATATAATAAAATTATTTATTATACAATGGATTAATTTTATAATAATGTACTAATCGATGAAGTTAATGGTCAAATATAACTCATTGTTTTACAGGATAATTCACTTAAATATTATTAAGCAACCCTGGATTACATTTTAAATATTCTTAGGACAGTTAAATGTTAATAATAAACCTATTAATAGAACTAAAAATGACCCAGCAATGACTAAATTAATGGCCAAGACATAATTTATGAACAGTAAGAATTAATAAAAAATTTGCTCTATATTAAATATTTGGATGTTTATTGATACATGCAGTGGCGGACTATGCTCATCGGAGGTGCATGTAGCAAAAGGTTTTTCCAACCGACGCAGAAACTTGATATTGCGTTTACATTCCCTCCCCCCCATTGCGCATACATCTTTAACTTTATTATATTATTATTTGTTTTAAGCCAATCTGCATATCCCAAATTTAATCTATGCCTATTGAGCATAGATTACGCCAAATGAGACTTCAAAAATCACTGCTCATCTCTTGACCTAGACGTTGAATGTGTCAACGTTTTATTTTTTTTTGCTGTAGACATTTTTGTTCTATGGACACCACTAATAAAATAGTATCTTTTAGAAAGATTACATATACATATCATATATAGAAAAATATTTTTCTAAAATTTAAACAATTTGTTAACATTATGCATGTAATAACAGAAAAATATATATACACACAATTTACAATACATATAAATGGTTATTTTAGTAATAACAGCTTAATAGTGACCATTGATATTGGCACAAAATTGTAGCTTTTTCGTTATTATGTTGCTCTCGTAAATTAGTTACCAGTTTCTTCTAACATGTTAATACTTACATATATGTCGGAAAATGACGAACCAAATAGCCTTAAATGTAAAAATCTGTACACAAAAAATGTTGAATAGTATAGAATGTAATATCTGATTTCACTTAGAAATCGGAAATAACTCTTACCATCAACTCGTTCAGTCAGGGGTCCAATATGCCATGAATAATAAATCAATGTGGGAGGTGTCTCGGAAGTTGTGCTTCGCTGGGTCTGTATCTCGCTAGGATGATTGCGCACATGTTTTGGGCGTCTGTTTCTTCTGGATACATGGCCATCGCTTCAGCGACTTGAGCTTCGGGGAAAATGCCAGTTAGGTGAAAGTGCATTCGGCGTCGTGCATCCCAATGTTGCAATGCCCCTTCCGAGGCACATGGCGACATCTGTCCGCCCGAGGCTCCGGTGGCTCCGGTGGCTCCGACAGGAGCAGAAGCGACTCTAGCGGCTGATGTATGGGGGGAAAGTCGCGGATCACACGCCGGATTTAAAGTCAATTGTCGGGCGAGCTTGCGATGCGAATTTACTTCGGACTGTGCCAACGGTTGGGGAATCGGTGTCATTTGCGGTTGAGATGGCCCAGCTAACTGCATTTGCGCTCTTTCGAAATGCGTAGCGAGCGCAGTATCTGCTAAACGAGGCGTTGCTGAGTGCGCGCGAGCCAGTGGACGCTTGTTGTCAGACGGCCGGCCGCCTGGTGGCAAACTGACCGTATGTAAATCTCGAGCTCGAAGGGCTCGCGCTGCGCTTTCAGAAAGCCTATCCGCTACCGATTTGTGTGGACGGCCTGCTCGTTCCGGATGGTGGTATTTACATTTATTTCCATAGGTACATTTCCTACCGTAAGGGCATGCTGGCGGCGGTTCTGCGCGCGAGAGTGGCGCCCGGAGAAACGCATCTAGTGTTGGTCCTAATCGACCCAACGGATCGTCCGGTGGCATAAACCGATCATTCACGAATGAATACATTAGGATACGCTCTTCGATTACTTTCCGGAATTCTGGGCTCTCCGCAGCTAGGTCACGATAGTTGTCATTAGAGACTACTATTCCATCGGTTTCAGCAGCCAGTTTTAAAATGTATCTGTCATCGTAGCAAATGAGACGTTTTCCGCCTACAAGTCTGCTAGGGGTGTACACGAGTACACGTTCTCGTTCAAGTCGTTCGAGAGCGTCACGATCAGCGACAGGATTGTCCGGTCTAGAGGCTTCTTTTCGCCATTTAGGCACAAATACAGTGATATCCTTGTGACCACGAGAGCGGAACCAGTCCACGCATATTTCTATACCTCGGCACGAGAATACTTCTTTATTGCCATGGCTGTAACAAATATATCATATTAAAGAAATACACTACATTTTTATGCCGGATATATGAAGGAAAACGTCATATTAATGTTCTAATGAAACTATTACAGGACATCGCGTAAGACTTGGTAAATATTCTATAATAAAGTACGGGTTTTTTTTATATAGTGTTTGTTATGACTAAATGTGCGATAGTGTACAAAGGTAATGGATAGTGGACTTGCCTCATGGCAACATTGCTGCCATCAATGACGATATGCCTTAACGTAGCTCGGTCGGGCGGCGGGTCCGGTTCGGCAGACGGAGGCGGTGATAGCGCTCGAGGTGGCTGCTTCGCTGCTAACTTTATCAGCTCAGCGAGGAGCTCATTACGAGGTGGATCTGGGCCCAATCGCATCAATGCTGTTCGGGCTAGCCGTTCCGAATATCCTAACTTTACCGCAAACTCTATCTTTGCCTGAAAACAAAGAAAAACATTCAACTAATATTCAATCTTGAATCTAAAAAGAACAGTAGGATAGCAACACCATGGATGGGGTATGTTACATGTTTCATAAACGAATAACATCAAAATCATTATGTAACATCTAACTGACCGAAGTAGGTATTGCTGTTTATAAAATTACAGTTATTCAAAATTATGTAATTGAGGAATATATAAAAATATATTATAGATTTGTTGAAATCGTTTAACAGACTTGTCTGTCCCTTCCCACGCGCATGAATGAAATTACACTATACTCCTTTCATTATAACATTAGAAAAAAGTGGATCACAGAAGCAGCAGTGCAGAACATTTTATTTTCAAGATAAATTAAAAAATATATATACATATATAATAGTTTTGTTGAAACTGAATGTTAGGTAGTCTGAAAGAGCTGGGCAATTTTCCATTTTTTACGATACGTCGGGTTTGAGATGAGGCCAGCATTTACTAAATTCATCATTTACTCCCAAGCCAACATGGAACTAAAACTATCTATCTATTGTTTTGATAAATTCTAATTGTAAGTGTTAATAATTAGAATAGAATTTAGTTATATCTATGTCCAGGAAATAAAGGTAAACAAAACGATGTTTAAATTATTACTTTTATAACATTTATTCAGACATTATTAGACTATTGATGAAGACATTGGAAAAACTTCCTGAAATGTCCTAGGTCATTGTTGTAGGTCACTCGGCCCTGCACCGGCATCGTCCATATTTAACAAAACTTAACAACAAAACGATAACAACTCAAACAAAAGTATAAGAAAAGAACAATAAAGCAATAACAACTTAATCACGGAAAACGGCAAAACAACAAGGAAAGGCAGTAGCATTCACAATGAATGACAGTTCCAAATTACGTATCATGACAATTATGAATACGCCATAATCGACAAAGAGCCGTACTACCGAAATGTTTGAATGGATTAGGCAAAGTTTGAAATTTAGTAGAGTTATAGTGACATGAGAATCGTGCCGAAACTATCCAACCCTGCTTTTTTAGGTTCTTTGAGGTGAACACTTTTCGTTGTGATGATTTTTAAATTAAAGTTAGTCAAATACTCATAAATTTGTTTAATAGATAGCTTAAACGACAACGGTTAAGTATAGCAGCTGGTATTTAAAAGCATATGTATCAAATTAGCCTTCAGTCTTTGAGTAAAATGATTATTGATATTTTGCCACAATACAATAAAAAGAACCTCATTTAACTTCTGTCTAATGCTATAATGAATGGAGTATAGGCATGGATTAAATAAGCGATGTGACTTGATGTGGTTCAATATAGTAATTTCAGTGGATTAGGTTACCGACTCTCACCTGGTTCGGTTGTGGTGGGGCAAGTGTGACGTATTCTGCAAACTCAGCAGCGAGAGTGTCCGAAGACGTACGTGATGCGGCGCGGTGCACACTCTCATCTTCGCATTCGGAGTCGTAACTCGAGTCTTCGCCCCGCTCACCAGCCCATCCCAACGATGACTCGACATATTTCTGGAAAGAACAAAATAGATCATTTTACATCTTTTTTTATTAGATAACCATAAAAATCTCCCCGATTGAAATAATTTGGAAGTTTAACGACTTTATTAACAATCTTTAGGCTACCAATGCACTGGTGATTTTTTGTTATTGTTGCTGTCACCGTGCTTCTGTCACTTTTATGGAAATCACCTAAGTCATATTCATCTGCGCTACAGTAAGAATTCTCAGCATTCTCCGGTACGGCGACAGGACACGAAGTCCCGGTAACAGAAAGTGATATTGAATAAGTTAGATTTCAAGTTTTACATATTTTTCCTCATTTCTGGCGCTTTCGCAACTTTAATTTTGGTATGAAAATGACCAACAAAGGATATGTTCATCAATCGATATAATATCAATGCGTATCTAAAATCACACGGGAGCCTGTCAGGGGTAACACCTATAAAATATCCTTACAATTGAACCACCAGTTGTATAAAGGGAATAAACGCCAAATTTTGAAAAATCACTTTTTGATGCCAAATTGATCTTAAGTAGGGGACTCGTGCGTTAGGCTCAAGAGAGAAATAAAAACCACACTGTGTACTTGGCAAAATGCGATCTCAAATTTTTGTCAGTTGTAAGAAGGATATAAATCCGGGATTTATTTCTTTCTTACAACTGATGCAATAATTTCGTTGCAAACTATTCTGAACCTTATTGCGTTACATTTTTCTTCCGTTATTTGTTTTAGCGGGCCTTTGTCACGTGATTATTGACAGCTTGTGATTGGCTGTGGAATAAACTTTTAATTTGTTATTGCGTCATCCATAAGTTTACGTTTGAATCTCTGTGTATGTTTTTTGTTTAAAAAGAGCATAATGTCGAGTAGTAGTGATGAAAGTGTGATGAACACGTCTGTAGATGATCAGCCAGCTGTTAAAAAGAAAAGAGGAGTAAGAAATAAGCATTTGTATAAAAGTCAGGTGCAAAAATCACATCGTCTTCATGGCGAGGCCTACACAAGTACTTCTAGTGGGAAATATGTGGAAGCGAAATCGAATACTGGAGAGGAGTGTAAGTGCAAAAAGTTTTGCACTTTGAATTTTGGGGTAGAAGAAAGGCAAGATATTTTACTAAGTTTGTATAATGGAAGACCTAAAAATGAGCAAGACACATTTCTCATGGGTCTGATAAAATGTTCATCTGTCGCCAGGAGACGCTCTTCAAATGAAAATCGTAAGAAACGTGATTTTACATTCACATATTTCATCTTATCTAGCGCAGAAAGGATTGAAGTGTGCAGGCAAGCTTTCTCTATTCTGTATGATATAAAAAACAAAGCAATTTTTCGTCTGACAACTATCCTTTCTAAGGGAATGCAGCCTCAAGATAGACGTGGTCAGCATCCAAATCGTGGTAACTCGATGCCTAATGATATACTTCTTGCTATTGACGAACACATTAAGTCGTATCCGCTAAAAGAGTCGCATTATAGCAGCAAGCATGTTCAGTACCTAGATGCTAGTTTGAACGTAAAGATCATGTATGAAATGTTTTGCACTAAGCACCCTGATCTTCAAGACACTGTCAAATATGATTTTTTTAGAAAATTGTACAATGAAAACTACGGTTTTCGATTTGGACGGCCACAAGTCGACGTTTGTTCGACTTGTGAAGACCTAGAGACCAAAATAAAAAGTCCGACTCTTAATGATGTTGCTAAGCGTGTACATGTAGCAGAAAAAATCGTTCACTTGAAACGTGCTAAAAAATTTTACAGCAAACAACAAGAAATTTTAGCATTGTGTAAAGAAAGGGCAGATGTCGGAGCAATCGTTTTCGATTATATGCAAAATTTGCCGATTCCCAAAATTCCCGTACAAGAGATGTTTTACTTAAGAAAGTTGTGGCTCTACGTCTTTTGTGTTCATGATTTGAAATCAAATACTGCCAACTTCTATACGTACCACGAAGGTGAGGCTAAACGAGGTCCCGACGAAGTTTGTAGCTTGTTGTGGAAAACTATTCAAAATATTGACCCAGCTGTAAAGGTACTTCACGTGTTCAGCGACGCTTGCGGGGGTCAAAACAGGAATAATACCCTCGTAAGGTTTTTCCTCATATTGATATATCTGGGTCGTTTTGAGAAGATACATCAATATTTTCCAGTACGTGGGCATTCATTTTTGCAATGCGATCGTAACTTTGGTACTGCTAAACGCCTGATAAGAAAAAAAGACAGGATCTACACCCCTGACGTATACAACGATATGATATCCACGGCTAAAAAGACAGGATTTTCAGTCACGAACATTACTTCAGAAGATATTCTGGATTTCAAGAAAACTTGGCCATTATACTACAAAAAAACGTCGAAATCAGTTGACAAAGCTTCGACGTTTACCATATCCAAGTATCGACACTTAACGTACAGTGCATCACACAAGGGATATTTGACTGCACGTGAATACATTGACGGACTGGTGAAACATCACTTTTTATTACAGAAAAATAATGTGCACCCCGCATTGCCTGAAAATAAAGCATACACTGGTAAAATACCTATTAACCACAAAAAAATGGTAGATATTCAAAAGATCGTTCAGTACATACCGCATGAAAATATAAATTTTTACGAAACCATACTTGCGTGGCCAACAACGACTGCCGAAACACCTGATAATGACGAAGACTAACGTGTTGAGATACTATTGTTTGTAATAATTAAATAAAAAAGAACATTTGTGTACAAATTTGTTTGTTATTTAAATGCCCATTTCATAAGTTGTATAAAGGGAATAAATCCAAGCTCTTTAAATCAAAATATCTCAAAAACTAAATAAAATTCAAGTCTTTTCATTGTATAATAAAATTAAGATTACCCTACACTTTAAATCACCCATAAGTCAAAAACAAAAAATATAAGAAATGTAGAAGCTAGAATGTTTTTTTCGATTTCCCAAAAAAACACTTTTTGGATTTATTTCCTTTATACAACTGGTGGTTCAATTTATTTTTTCTTTTGATTATCATGTAAAATAAGGCTGGAAGTAAACGACTGTGTTAGAGTTCATAAGGACAGAGTAATTAATAAATAAAACTATTAAGAACATTATTTTCGAAATATCTGATAAAGATTGTTTTCTTTTGTTGATTGCTTCGGGCGACCCATGTAATGAGGATAATATCGATTAATTGTTGTATTAGCGAGAAGAAAATATGTTCTCCGGTAAAAATGAAATGAAAACTCACATATTTTGTGCCGTGAGTATCAATGATAATTTACCTTATAATAGTAACTAAATAAATACAAGACAACACATACATTGCTCGGATCTAAAATTATGAACTTTTATTATGGAAAGTCGAAACAAAAAGTAATCATAACGTCCAGACTCGAGAGAATATAGAAAATTTCATTTTCCAAATTGACCCGACCTGCAATCTAAGAATTTCAGAAATGACGACACAAAACCACCGTGCGAGCCACTCGGTCAGGTAGTAGTTGTCAGAATGATTGCTTTCGGAAGTGCGTTTTATATTTTTAGAGTTTATTAATATATTCGAATATAAGTAATGTAAGACTAAAGTTTATTTATTATGCTTTTTATATGTCCTTAGATCAAAATTTCAAATAATAGTTGTGGTTCTTTTTTGTTAAAAATATCATCAAACAGGTCAAACGTTAATAAAACAACTTGTGAGATTAGATTACACACATCCAGGGTGTTTTGTTCTAAATTAAAGAAAATATGACCTCTATAGACACCATTTGATAATATACTTTGTTATATTATCATTTTTCATCGATCAACCATTCCGCAAGTAAAAATATATCGGATAACATATTATATATTTAACACAACCGGCGGCGCCAGTACAGGACAGGGTCATCAGGGCGTCGAAGCGGATCTGCGGATGATCATTGACCTTTAACGTGTGCCAAACTGTTCAATGTACCGGTCGTAATTCATTTATTTCACAAAAATCTATGGCTAAGCTTGCCTTGTTTGCATTGTAATTTATCTCGGTTATCGATCTTACATTCTCCCGCATACTTGTACAAAAATATTGCTTAGTCATAGCAAACATCCGCGTACAGACCTAGTTTGAGAGCCTGAAAACGGCAAGCGTGCTCTACCGATTTTAACTCATAGTGAACACTAGCTCGGATGATAATTGTAGAATGGGCATGTTTGTTAGTAGGCCACTCTATGGGAGCTACATCCGGGCTCAAGTACGGAAGCGCCCCGCCTAGCTGCCTCCGTGAAGCCGGATACGACTTTCTAAAAAATATGGTGCGCGCGAGCCGTCTGTATAACATAACAGCGACGATATGTTATATTTATCCTACTAATTTTGCGGATCTGTGATTCAGCACATGATTTCCTAAAAAAGATCTCACTTAAAACCTTTTACATTTATTATACAGGATTACCTCAGGTACTTTAGAGTTCAATTTATCATAATAGTAAAAAATAATGCCTTCTTCCACCACCAAAGTTGATCGTTGATTTTCAACAGTAAAATTAACTTTGATATTAGTTAAATTGTCTAAAGTAGCAATAGCAGCATTACTAATAAAAAAAAATCGTAGGTAACAAAAAACCAATCGGCGATGCTACCATTGATTAAACAATTTCCTCATCACCGGCGTGCTTTAAAAAAACCATTGGGACCTCCCAGAGCTTGTTGGAGATGCCCATTTGAGTTTAAACCAAATGTTTTCCTTGCTAGTTTAATCTAACAAATTTCCCATTGTCATAAAGCACTGTAAAAAAACACATGACCCGTGCTTTGGGTATGGCCTCCTACTTCTGTAAATATTCGAGAGGGTTACGAAGTAAAGAAGACTGAGATGCACTCGGACAGATTGTTAATTTTTTATTTTTTTATTGCTCATGAAGTTAAATATTTAATTGCAAATGTAATCGGCGGGTGGTTATGTGAGCGATTAGTGTCATTCCAATTGTCTCATTCAGACTGTTATCTATGTATTAATTAGAATTGGATATCATTAACGTTAC